GGGGGTAGGGAGGGGGCAGAGAGTGGCCCTGGACAAACAGCAGGTGGTGCTTCTGTCCTGCCCCAAAGATAACACCGTCCTCTCCGTGGCTCCTGTTCCTTCTTTAGAAGGAGGTGGCATGGTTGAGGGAGAGTCCTGTCCAAAGGAACAAACACCCGTAAACATGTAACAGGCATGTCAGATCCACGAAGGGCTTGGCTCTCACTCCGAGTGGCCGGGAAGTCACTGGAGACTTTTGAACTGAGAACAAACACCTCCGCTGTCCCTGGCACGGCTGGGCAGAGAGCAGAGTGTGGGTGCTAAGGGTGGAAGCGGAGACCCGTGGAAGGTGGCAAGGCCAGGCCGGAGGAGGGAGGAGGGCCGAGTCTCGCTGTGCTTCAAAGGTCTTCTTGATGCCCTGAGATGAAAAGTTGGAATCACGGTGTGGACCTGTCACTTGTCTGGAGTAGGCGGTGTCCTTGAGGCATCAGAGTCGTTTTTGGTGACCTGCTGCTTCAAAGCGTTCAGATAGGCCGTGGGGAGGAGAACCATGGCCGGGGGCATCGTCCCGTGGAATTGTGCTGTGGCGCTGTCCCTGGCCCAGGACACCCAGCCCTCCCAGAGTGAGGGTGCCTGGTCAGGGTTCCTGCCTGTCGGCGGGTGGCGGTGCCAGTGGCGTTTTCTCAAGCAGGGGCTTTTTTTTTTTCTTTCTCTGTGTTTTTTTCTGAGTTGGGTAATGCTTGATTTTCTAATATTTCTAATTTTCTGAACCAGGAAACTTTCTAATAAAATCACTTTAAGTGGAAGCTTTAAGGAAGGGAAATGGTAGACGGTGACAGAGCCCTTGGTTGCTCTCGGGAAAACGGGAAACACCGGGTGGGCCGTTCGCTGTGGGACGTGGCTGTGCTGCCATCCCTTCCTTAGGTCTCTTCCTCATCCCTCCGCATCTGCTGAATAACTGCTTCTAAATCATCGATGTGTTTTAAAAATCACAATTTAAGCAGCACCGTCCTATCTGTGTTTCTCTGCTGCCAAGTGCACTCTCTGTGCTTCCTCGTCTGCTGGGAGCCTCGCCCTTGGAGCCTGGGCCCGGTTGGGGGCAGGTCACCTGAGAGCCGCAGAATGGGGTGCCATGCGTGACCTTGTATAATTTTTTAAACAACTGGATTTACAGAGAGCGGCCAGGACAGTGTGGAGTGTCTGTACACCCTTCTCCCCTCTCCCCACATGCACTCACCACAACCCAGGGCTCAGCGCTTGCAGTGCTGTCAGCTCCTGACCGCAGCCCCCAGCATCTCCTCCCTTTAGCGCTGTGAGGAAGGCAGCTGCCCGGACCTCTCCCCTCTGCAGGGTGTAGACATGTGTTTAGCACCTGGGGGAGCAGACAAGGGACAAAGGAGACCTGCTCTCCCCCAGCCCGCATTCCACAGGCTCTCCCGGGGGCACTCAGGGAGTGGGGTCCCTCAGCCCTTTCTCAGGGATCGGCAGTTACTGCCAAGGGCCAAGAACTGTGGCATTTTGGGCAAGTGTCCCGCTGTCTCTCGGCCTCAGTTTCTCCATATACAAGTCAAGGGGTTGGGCTTCCTCCCTGAGGCACTTTCTGGCTCTAATATTTTAGGTCTTTCAGGTCTCAATCTCTGGGTCCAAAATCTAATGGGCTCAGGCCACTGAATCCACTAGTTGTCTCTTCTCACGCACAGCAGGGTTGCGTGTGGCTCAGCCTTTGGACCCAGGTCCTAAAGGAAAAGATCGAGGCACTGATTCCTTTATTTCTTCACTGTGACACTGGTCTGCACAGTCACTGGCCCAAAGGCCTGGCAGGTCCCGCTGGAGAGAGCTGACCTGGGTCAGCAAAGCCACGTCAGAGCCATGGTGGCTGTTGGCCCCACCTTTGCCCTGGAATATGCTCCAGCTGATTTCCTGCTCAGGAGCTGGAATCTTGGCCTTTTAGGGGGAGGGTGTGTGTACACAGACAGAGTCACGTGAGCCTCGTGCCACAAAAGCAAATAACCTGATTCTCTGCTGGTGGTTTAAGCTTCCCTCCCCCTCCCGGAGGTGTCTGTGAGGCATGAGAAATTGCCTCAGCTCCTGAGACCAGGAAATGCTAGAGGAGTAAAAAGCAAAGCACCCCTCTCCCCCAGGTCCGCACTCCCATCCCCCAAATCCGCACCCCCATCCCGCTCTCCTCTCTTTGGGTTTGTGGGTCTCCTCTTCAGGACCCAGGGGCGGGGTCAGCCACTCTCCGTATGGGGTTGATGGGAACAGCCTCGCACGCTGGCGTTACGTGGTGTCTGGGACTGCACTGTTCGGAGACCGCGTGGCTTGCCAAACCTCAGACCTGTCTCCTGGTCCTTTACAGACTTGTCTTGTTTGCCCGCGCTGATGGAAGGAGTTCTAAAAGAGAAGTGACACTTACCCCTCCACCATTGTCTCCTGACCAAGGGACAAAGCAGGGATGACGAGGAGGGCACCTGAGAGGGTTAGTGTTAGGGGCAGGGTTCCATATTGGTGTTAAAGCACAGAAAACTGCAGGCAGCTCGCTCAGTGCATCAGAACCAGACCCCATAGCGAAGGTCAGGAGGAGCTTCACCATGGGCGACGCCAGTGAGGGTCTCAGACCCTGAGGAACCTTGGATAGGAAACAAAACGGGTGGGCAGGAAGACAGATGGGGAAGGGGATGCTGGTGGCACCTGCGTTCCCAGTCTCGGCTGGGTTGTGACAGCTGACAGTTAAAGCTGCGTGTTTGCGTGTGAGTGACTTGGGGCCTCCCCCACTCGGGCTGTACTCTGGCAGCTGGAGACGGGATGTGTGTAGAGGGGTCTGGCCACCCACGTGGAGTGGCAGAATGTGCCCTGAGTGGGCATGGGTGCCACAGCACATTGTCCTGCCCGAGGAGTGGGGCTCGGCTGGCGCTGTGTCGACCAGCGTGGCCCGGCCTCTTCTCGGAGGGCTTCACCCCGAGCAGAGTGGAACGTCACCCGGCCCTGAGGTCACGGAGACTGCTTTGTCAGGTGGGTCGCCTGGGTTCAGAGTAGGTCCGATTGTGAGGTGAGGGCTTGCTGGTGAGGAGGGCCTCCTGCGGTCCGAGCGGCTCCATGCCTGCCCCCTACCCACTGGCTTCTGCTCCGCAGGCTGGCGCCCATGCGGCTGTACACGCTCTCCAAGCGCCACTTCGTGCTCGTGTTTGTCGTCTTCTTCGTCTGTTTTGGCCTGACTGTCTTCATCGGGATCAGCGGTAGGTGCAGGTTTTGATCATTTTATCCTGTACAGTTACCTTGGTGCAGTCCCCCCCCCCCTCCCCGTATCTACCTGCTCTCACCCATCAAGGCCTGTCATGGGGGGGAAGCCCGTTTCTCTCTGCACCCACTGGGTGGATGGGTGACCCTGGTCAGGCCCCACACAGCAGCCAGGGCCTGAGTTCAGCATGTAGCCCTGGGTGGCCTTGACCATGTACCTTTTGTTGGGAAGTCCAACATTTCTGGAGAGTCTTGTGTGCCAAGATCCCGCCTGGGCGCTGGGGAATCCAGAGCTTGCTGGCTGGCGTGGGAGGCAGGCCATGGTGCAGCGAGTGGTGGGGAGGGCGTGAGATGCTGGCAACATGAGGCTGCTCTGATGATACCCCGAGCTCTTGGCAGGAGGGAGCCTGTAGATGGCTTTGGCCTTGAGTTCAGGGCTGCCGGTGCCTTGCGGCCCCCAGCATGCTGTTTGACGGGCGAGAGAAATGGGTTTCTGGTCCTCAGTTTTCCATCTCTGAGAAAGGGGGTTGGATGGGACCACTTCAAAGGCAATTTCGAAGCTAAAATCGGCAAAAGACAGGTTTCTTAACCTAAACTGAGTCTTGGGTCGGTGAATGGACTGAGTGAGCTGGGCAGAGAGGGTGATTATTTCAGTGCCGTTTGCCTGCTGCTGCTGAAGATGATGGTGGCAATGGCAACTGTAGCCAATCCTGTTTTCCTCTTCTTTTTAATCCTCCCCCAGGACACTTTTCCCATTGATTTCTAGAGAGAGTGGAAGGGGAAGTGAGAGACAGACAGAAACACCCATGTGAGAGAGACACATCGATTGGTTGCCTCCCACGTGACCCCAACCAGGGCCAGGAGCCTGCAACCAAGGTATATGCCCTTGACTGGAATCCAGCCCGGGACCCTTTAGTCCTCAGGCTGACGCTCTATCCACTGAGCCAAACCCGCTAGGGCCTGTGGTTTTAATTTGCAGCTCTCTGGCGATCAGTGACTTTGAGCATCTTTTCATATGTCTCTTGGCCATCGGTATATCCGCTTTGGAGAAGTATCTTTTTAGGTCCTTTGCCCATTTTTAAAAAATATATATATATTTTATTGATTTTTTACAGAGAGGAAGGGAGAGGGATAGATAGCTAGAAACATCGATGAGTGAGAAACATCAATCAGCTGCCTCTTGCACACCCCCCACTGGGAATGTGCCCACAGCCAAGGCACATGCCCTTGACCGGAATCGAACCCGGGACCCTTGAGTCCGCAGGCTGATGCTCTATCCACTGAGCCAAACCAGTTAGAGCTGCCCATTATTTTAATTGGATTTTTTGTCTTCCTGGTGTTACATTGTGTAAGTTTATTATACATTTTGGAAATTAACCCCTTATCAGATGTATCATTGGCAGATGTTTTCCTAAACAGTTGGTTCCCTTTTTCTGTAGATGGTGTCTTTGCTGTGCAAAAGCTTTTTAGTTTGATGTGGTCCCGTTTGTTTATTTTTTCCTTTGTTTTCCTTGCCCTAGGAGATATATTGGTAAAAATATTGCTATGTGAGATGTCTGAGATTTTACTGTCTGTGTTTTCTTCTTGGATTTTTATGGTTTCACAACTTACATTTAAGTCTCTGATCCATTTTTGAGTATTTTTATGTATGGTGTAACCTGGTGGTCTAGTTTCATTTTTTTGCATGTGCCTGTCCAATTTTTCCAACACCATTTATTGAAGAGACTTGATCACTTCTTTTAAGGTCAAAGTCCTAAAAAATCACAGGGTAAGAGTTTGTGAAGGTTGCATATCTGTTATTTCAGGAAAAGCTTTGAGTATATATTAGCAAGTACACTTTTTTATATTCTCTACTGAATATTTTTGGAAGACTGGATTAATTGGATGAAAAGACAAATGTCTTAATTTTTTCGCAGAAATGTTGATGCTTTATAGAATAGGTAGATGCTGCCTGTGTCATGAGTGTTTTCTTGGGTCTGCAGTGCAGAGAGCCCTCATTGAGGGCATGGGAGGGGTTTCTGCATGGACAGAAAACCTCGGGAATGATGTACCTTGTGTGACGATCATGGGGACCAGGAGGTCACCATGCAGCGGAGTGGATGTTGTGTGTCTATGTGTTTTACATATATGTGCAACCTCTGATGACAGACCAGGAAAATAAGATCACCGCCATATAATGTATGTCTTTCTTGGCATTTGACAAAAGTCAATAAATTAATTATCAGGGTAGGATATAACCTGCTTTTTTCCTTCTGTTACACTTTAGGACCCAAAGTGATCCAGACTTCTGAAGCTCATTTTTCACTAAATAATAGCAAAAAGGTAAGACTGGGTCTCTGAGTGGCAGGGGATGGGGCATATAAGCATCCAGGTCACTAGCAATGGCCCACCTTGTCCTGCAGGTTGCTTCTCAGCTAACACTGTCAGTGGCTGGCCTCTGGGTCCTCATTTGACAAAATGATGTTTTCTGCTATAATAAATGCCTCAGTGTGAGACAGGCTGGTGGTGTTAACACTTAGAGAGCAGCACTTTATTTCCAAAGGCTGGTAACTCGTCCTGGCTCCTCATGTCTGCAAGTCTTCCTATTTGCCCAATAAAACGTGGTCTCCATGCTCGGTTTCCAGCAGTATCAGTTCTTTCTAATGATTGGCATTCTTTGCATGAACTCAGGTTAAATGAAATATCCTTTTTTCTTTTCTTTTTTTAATTTTTCTCAATTCTTTGCCATCTTTAGAGAAAAACAAAAGTCCTTCCAATTGGAGAATTTTGGTATCTATACTAATAAAAGGGTAATATGCTAATTATACCAGGTCTACCTGACATCTTCCGGTTGTCAGGTCCTCCTTCTGGATAAAGCCACAGTGGCAGGGCCAAGGCAGAGGTGGTTAGGGGTGACCAGGCTGGCAGGGGAAGATGGTTAGGGGCAGTCAGACCAGCAGGGGAAGGTGGTTAGGGGTGATCAGGCAGGCAGGCAGGTGAATTTTGTGTACCAGGCCACTAGTTCTTTAATAAATACTAACTTGTGAGATCCCAAGTAACTAAACACTTTTATTTTTCTGTGTATCAAATGAAATCTTTATCTGTAAACTGAACACACTTGTCTTGCATTCTCATTACACCATAACATCTGATTGACCCCAAATATTAACTTGTCTGTTCTTCAAGCTCCCTGCTATGGATCCATTCTTAACAGTTTTCAAAAAGTCAAAAGGAGAAAATATCCTAAAATTTATACCTTTTAATTCCATTTGCTACTGCTGGCTTGAAAGAGTCTCCTGTGTAGCCTATTTCTTCGCATTTCCCTGTTTACTTTAACTCTTAGACTGAGCACCTGATTTGAAGAGGCGCAGCCATGAGGTTCCTGATTGTAGTTTGGCCTTTTAAATTTTCTGTCTTAAGATGTCAGTCTTTTTTTGACCCTGAAAATAGCAGCCGTCCCACAGAGCTGACTTGCTTCTGAAGGACCATCTCACTTCTGAAAGATGACAGATTACCCTCCAAGAGATCTCATCACGTAGGTGGCTTTTGGGCACAGCTCTGGTCAGGGTTTTATGGAGACCTGCCAGAGCATGAAGGCACAAAAGGCACACGCTCACTCTCAGAGACTGTGCATGCAAACAGTGCTTTTCTTCAGAGCTGTGGGGGGATGGGGGGAGCAGCTTTCTCCGTAGCTGCTGCTGTAGACACTGGTACTGGGTTTTTCAGCAGACACCGCAGAAGTATCATTGCCAACGGAGTCCCCTTTAATTTTTCTCCCCAGGGTGTTAAGACTCTTCTAAAGCTGAGAATAACAGATGTCAGACAGCGACATGTCTGGTATATTGATATTAAATCAAGATTCTTAGGAACATCCTTCTTTGGTGCCCTTATTATCTTATCATACGTCGCATCACATGCACTTTAACTTTCTCCGAGATGGCCTTTTCTTGGTATGGGTATTGTGCTGAGGCTGCGGGTGGTGGGACGCCTGCCTGGAGGTGTTCATGAGAGACAGATGTAAATTGTAGCAGAGTTTATGGAGGGTGGGATTTCACTCCTGTTGTCAAGGAAACTGTGCTGTTCCTGGTCTAGCACCAGTGCTCAGCCCTCATGGCTGGATATCAGTTTGGGATGTTAAGGTGAGGTATTGGGTAGCTGCAATGGAAAGGTCACATGGGTTACTTAACTTTTTTCTTTTTCCCTCAGTTGAAGCCAATTCACATACGTTCAAATCCACTGTCTACGTACAATCAGCAACTGTGGCTGACATGTGTTGTTGAGTTGAATCAATCAAAAGGTATGAAGCCTGACCTTTGGTCTGACTTTTCTTTGTACAAAGCACCATATTGTAAAAGTTGAAAGAGCTTTCAGACCTTTTAAAGTGTTTTCAAAGGTGGATTACAGGGATGGCCTTTATTCTTTATAATAACGACAAATTGGAAGCCCCTAAAGTGTCCTCGGGGTCCTCCACACCAAGTTATGCAGCCCCCGGGGAGGGCAGGTCACCCCCAGGGAGGGTCGGTGACCCTCGGGAGTGCTGGTCAGCTCAGCTGGGTGGCTGCACAGTGAAGGAGCTGCTACTGCAGCCTTTTTGGTGGGGTTCTGGGGAAAATGAAGTCCCAATGCCCCAAGGCAGTGGGTCTGCCCCCCAGGGACACTTGGCAGTGTCTGGAGACATTGTGACATTTTGACTGTCACAGCTCTGGAGAAGGGACGCTATTGGTGTCCAGCGGGTAGAGATCAGGGCTGCTGTCGAACACCCACAGAGCACAGGCCAGCTCCTCACAGGAAAGGATCTTCGGCCTCACAGTGTCAGTGGTGCCAAGGCTGGAAGACCTGCCCAGAGCACCTCCAGGCCCAGGGCATCGGCTCCGTTCACTGCGATGGCACTAGTCGTGGGCCGTCCGGGAGAACTGAGGCAGGGCCACCATGCGTGCTTAGTGTCTGTGGTTCACACGAGGGGCTTTGGTTGAGAAGGAACTTAAAGAAAACCTTGAAAATTCATATTAGAAAAAAATCAACTCCTTTTCTTGTAACATTTTAAGAAGATAAATTTGATATCCTTGTGTATTTGTATGTCTAGAAAATGGGATGATGGGCATGTACATGTTAACTTGGTTCTCTCTAGGTGGGATTATAGTGTATAATGCCATTGTCATAGTTTTTTTTTTTTAAATATTTTTATTGATTTCAGAGAGGAAGGGAGAAGGAGAGAGAGTTAGAAACATCAATGATGAGAGAGAATCATTGATTGGCTGCCTCCTGCATGCCCCACACTGGGGATCGAGCCCGCAACCCAGACATGTGTCCTGGGCCGGAGTCAAAACTGGGACCCTTCAGTCCATAGGCTGATGCTCTATCCACTGAGCCAACCCAGCTAGGGCCGTCATAGTTTTTTGTTCTCTGATTCTTTAAAACAATGAGCATGAAATCAGAAAAATTATATAATCAGGAAAAATAAATCTATTTTTATGTTTGTATAAAGTTAAATTAAAAAATTATGTGGGATAGAAAAGTAATTCATTAGCTGTGAACTATTTGTCCTCTCACGAAATGAAGCTAATGGATCTGAAACAGGCCGTGGCATGGGCCCTGGGAAAGGGGTTGCACGTAGAGCTAATAGGAAGGCTTTACGTTGCTGGCGAGCCAGAGGTTCTCGAAGATGCTGAGGCCGAGGTGGGTGAGACCCTCCTGGCTTGTCAGAGCCAGGCAGGCATGTTTGTCGATGTGAGTGCCTGACGTGGTCCCTGACACTGAGTTTCTTTCTTTTGTAGAAATGTCTACTCAGAAAAGCTTTCTCATGACCGTTAAAGTGGATGGCGTAGCTCGAGATGGAACCACCATGTTCATTCATAACAAAGTTCACAATCGGACAAGGACCCTCTCGTGTAGAGAGGTGAGCATTCCCCAGTCCGTGATTACTCATCATACCACACTATCACAGACTTGCTTTCTTAAGTAAAAAAGCTCATACTAGTGAGGGTATGGAAAAACCATCTACCTTTATATACTGACTAGAGGCCCGGTGCACAAAAATTTGTGCACTCAGAGGGGAGAGGGAGGCCCCTCAGCCCGGCCTGTGCCCTCTCACAGTCTGGGACCCCTCAGGAGATAACGACCTGCTGGCTTAGGCCCGCTCCTGGGTGGCAGAGGGCAGACCCAATCCCTAGGTGCAGCCCCTGGTCGGGCTCAGAGCAGGGCCCATTGGGGAGTTAGGGTGCCGCCGCTGTCATGCACAGAGAAAGGCAGATTGGGAGGGTG